ATACCCATTTTGGTAATTTTTTTCACCCAGGACAGTTTTTGTGAATCTATCACATCTTTTATAATAGGTACTTTGATCCCCCCAAACTGATATGGCTGTGACATTACATTTCTTTTAACCTTGTTTGGCTTTCCTTTCCACACAAAAGAAAAACATTTTTTTTGAAAGTTGTCTATTACTTCATCATTGGGGCTAGGTATAGATGTACACAAATTATTTAATTTTGAGTGATTTTAAAACAGTATTTCTACCTATTGGGGTCAATAATCTTGCTTTCCATACGTTCATTTCCCTTTCAGTTTTTTCAAGTTTATCTCTATACTTTAAGTCAATAATTTCTTCCAAATCAATAGAAAAATTAATTCCCAAAAATTTAAACGTTATAGGAGTCCAGTCAAGATTCGACTCTTTACAGAGCTTATATCGTGATCTCTTTTTTGAACCAAACCATATCAATTTGGTTTTGTCAGTGTTAACTTTTAATCCTGAAAACCTAGCAAAAAGTCGAGTGTATTTAACACATTGTAGAGGCCTTTTTCAGATCCATGTAACATCAAAGTCGTATCATCTGCAAATTGTGTAAGGAAATGTTCAATACTGCCAGTCTTCATTCCCTTAATATTTTTGTTTTTTTCTGATCATTATTTCAAGTATCTCTGCACATATAATAATTAATATATATGGCGACACTGGATCTCCCTGACGACAACCTCTTGTTATCTTAAAATAGGGGCTAGCAAGACCATTGACTAATACACTTGATTCAATATCGCTGAAAAATGTTGATATCCATTTTACTATACTTGGACCTAAGTTGAAAAATTTAAATTGATTCAAAATAAAATGTCTATCAACAGCGTCAAAAGCTTTTTCAAAGTCGTCCAGGTATTTGATATGATTCGAGATATTCCATCAAGTCATATATTAATCTTGTAACTTCCCCAATATATCTTCCCGTGACAAAACCTTTCTGATCTTCACTAATAATTATACTTAAAACTCCTTTAATTCTATTTGCGATTATTCCTGACGCTAGTTAATACGAGGTATTCAAGAGAGAGATTGGGCGCCTTTTTTTAGGAAATGTTTCGACTTATTTTCTTTAGGAATACATGTTATTAATCCCTGTTTTGTGTTACTGATAAAGATTCGTTTCTATATGCATGATTAACAGACTTCAGCCAAAAATGTCCAATATCATTCCAAAAAAACTTTAAAAATTCTGTTGTGAAACCATCGGGGCCAGGACTTTTCTCATTTTTCATTCCTTTCAGTGCTTTCAGGGCTTCTTCATAAGTTATTTCACCCTCTAATTGTAGGGAAATACATTCTGGTAATTTTGGCACATTCTATCCCTCAAATAATTTATCTAAATCTATTTGTGTACAATCTTCACTTGTGAACATTTTTTTTATAAAATCTTTTTGTTTCGCCTAGAATTTCCTTCTGATTTTTTATTATATTGCCATCTGTTTACTGTAATTCACAAATTGAATTATTTAAAAAAATCCTATGTTCAAGGTGTAGAAAATATTTACTAGGTTTTTCTCCATGTTTAATCCATTTAGCCTTTGATCTTTTAAAAGCTCCTCGTGTTTTTTGGTTATGTATTTCCCCAATTTCATTTTTAATTTCCCCTATTTTCTTTAATATATTTTTCTTTTCTATTAACACTTCTGCTCTATCTAAATATTTTTTTCAAAATTGAGTAAATCCTTTTCAATCTGTTTTTCCCTTGCCCCTGTAATCTTTTTTTTAGTTGAAGAAAAGTATATTGTTTCATCCCTTATAGCTAAAAGTATTATTTCCAATAGCAACTGATCGTTTAACACATAATTTCTATTATTATCATTATTTTTGTCCTCATACTGATTTAATGTATCTTTAATTCTTTTTTTAATTTTCCCAAGATATTCTTTATCACATAATAGAGAATTATTGAATTTCCAGAAGCCTTTTCCTCTTTCAGTTTCGTGTATATCTAATGAGAGACAAACCAGAGAATGATCAGAGTCCAGCCCTGGGTGGATATCATGATCACATTCACTTATCGAGTGGACAATATTGTGGGATACAAAAAAAACCCAATCTAATCTAGCTTGCTTAATAGGATTAGGCTGTCGCAAGGTGAAGCGCCTTTCAAACGGATTTGAATCTCGCCAAACATTTTTTCAAATCAAAAGTTTCAATAATATCTAATACCTCGTTCCTTGCTTTGGGATTGTTTAAATGCTTAAACGTATCCATATTCATAGCCATAGTCAAATTCCAGTCCCCGCACAAAATAAGTTTATTTCCATCTAGTTCTGTAATAACATCTCTTAGTTTGGCATACAATTCAGGCTTATCTTGATTCGGGCCATATATATTAACAATAGTATAAACAATGTCTTGTATCCTAATCCTAATTCAAAATTATTGTTAAATAAGATAGCTGCCTCTTGCATTACTTTTGTAAGGACTAAAGTAACATTCCCAGTATCCCCATTGCTGCTTTATTAATTGTTCCTGCTCTGCGGTAAAGTGCTCCTCTCGCAGACAATATATTTGTGCTTTACGCTTTCGCAAGAACCTAAATACCTTTTCCCTCTTTAATGGATTATTTAGGCCACTACAATTATAAGATATAATTTTATGATATAACAATATAACAATGTATTTCCCTAAGGGAGAGATAAAAGTGAAAAGGTACACATTGCATTCATAAAATTCAAATTTTACATCAAGAAAATATACAATATAAACATGAAAATGACATAACCGGTTTTCCATCATATAGCGTTTCCCACACTCAAACAAAACCCATACTTTTTCATAAATATTAAAAGGTACCAACACGCCTCATGGAATCAAAATAAAACAACATAGCATCAACCTCAAAGGATGTAGTCTCCCTTCTCCCCTAAAGTTAATAATGTAAACCTTCAAGACTTGTTCAAAGTCCTAGTTAAATTCGATATCAAGTCAGTTTGGAAGTTTGTCTAAACAATTATCAAAGTCAAATTTGGAAATAAAAATATTGGTAGACAGGTACCTTTCCCTATCATAAAATAAATCTACACGACGACGTAAATTCTCTATGTAAGTCACGTATTTTTGCAGTGTCGTGATAAACAGATATCTTGATCTAATTCCATCAAATCTACTTGGTCACTGGATATCTCTTACACTCATTAGTGCAAAATTGCCCGGGACCAATATAAAACTGTAGCTGGCTTCATATTCTTACTTCCCATACATGTATATAATGTTTAGATCTATTATAATGTCTTTGTTGAGAGTTTCACTCATCAAATAAAATAAAAGTTGAAACCAGACAGTAAAAAGGTACACATGCTAGTCACTAGTCCTCCACCATGACCGTGGAATATATTTATTTTTTGAAAAAAACATAATCTAGAAATGCATACTAAAGCAAGTCTAGCCAGCTCAAGCTAGCTCTATTCCACAGTCATGTCATTTTGGGGAGAGGACCGTTCGAAATAGCGAACGGTAATTAAGTCCCTTCCTTATCATATCAGAGAATCTTGTTCAGATGACAGCCTAGCACTGGTAGTGCTCCCATCTAGGTTTACTGAAAAAAAATACAGCTGGGGGAGAGGCGTAAATGGGGTGGTGGGGGGTGGTGGTGGTTACTGAGGGGATTACCAGGGTGACCTGGGATGGCTGATCTCCACACATGTGGTCATCATGCATCTGACACACTGCCGAACTGAACGAAGGACTGATGTTATGTTTTAAGTGTGGGCTGCTTTCTGTAAGCGTTTGCTGCATACCCTCTATTTAACTACAAGTATAACTGTTAGTATGGAAGGTAATGCTATTGACGAAGCTGTATCGTTTGGAAAGCAACAGCTACATATTGATCACTTCAGGAATCATCAAAGACAAGTGATTGTAAGTTACCTCAGAGGAAGGGATGTCCTTTTTTGTTCTCCAACAGGAACAGGAAAATCACTTACTTTTGAAATAGCACCACTCGTGTTTAAGAAACTTAATAACTCCAAACATGCTTCTGTGATTGTTATTTCACCTTTGGTGGCACTAATGACAAAACAAACAGATAAGTGTTCATCTATTGGATTGAAATCTGTTTATTTGAAGGGTCAACATGACCCTTCTCCTGAGGATGAGGATGATCTTGTACATGTAATGGACCAAATATCAATTCAGGATAATAAATCTGGTGACATTGACATAATATTTGCAAGTCCATGATGAGTTCATAAACAATAGTGAAGACGGAGTTAACAGTCATAAGAATCGTCTATTTGACATGTTCCACAGCAAGACAAACAGGGAAGTGAAGAAATATGTGTCCCAGTCCTTCATGGATCCAAATGGTTTGAAGAGGATAGATAGTCCATTGCTCATCACTATTCAGCATGGGACTTGACTTACAAAGTGTGGAAACCGTCATCCACTATGGTCCAGCCAATAATGTTGAGGATTATATTCAAGAGACAGGACGAGCAGCCAGGGATCCAGAAAAGCAGGCACATGCTCTTCTCATGAAATTTAGACAGTGTCTCAGTGGCAGGCGGAATACTTCGGATGAAATGAAACAGTATGTCAGAACCAACGTACGTCGACGAGTTGAGCTACTGAAGTCATTTGACCAGTACCCTCAACAAATTCAACCTTTGCATAAGTGCTGTGACAACTGTGCCATATCTTGCAAGTGTGTCTGTGACTGCATTGGCTATTTTTTGCATAATTCTGCCATTGACAGCGCACTTCTGCTGACTCTGAGAATTGTCTTATCTGCGTACCTTCCCTTGTATGTGTGTACACCATCTTTGAAAGCCCTGTTGCAATGCTCCAAGTCAAGGTCGTTGGGATGATTGGTGTCGACTCTGCCTTGATGGTTGACTGTGCGGTTCCATATCAATCTATAAGCCTGCCGTTCAGATAGGAGAGCATATGCCTTTGCCTGTGTTTCAAGGAGACCATATGCATACTTTGGACATTTGCTTGCCTTGTAGTATACATGTAAACAGAACCACTTTACTAGTCTCATCATTCTGCCACCATCTCCCATGTGAATGGAATCGTTGTGATTCATTCGAAGAAGCCCAAGCATGAGAGACAGACGGGTGTACTGATACACAGATGATCTTGATTCTGCTGAAGATGTGGAATCCTGATTGTTTTCAGCATTATATTCCGGATCAGAATGTCCATGCAAACGTGCCTCGTGTTTGCGGAGAGCTTTTGGTCTCTGGTACAGTTTTCCACAGTACCTGCAGGCTAGTGTGTTTGATTTGAGACCATGAGCTGGCAGTTGAGGAACCTCCGGTTAGACGTGCTTGTCTACAAACTGTTTTGCATGACCTAGAAAATAGTCAATCGTTTCATATGGATTGCCAACAGCACCCTTGTAACTTGGCGTTGGGACAGAAGTGAGGTGTTCCATTTGGAAGTGATGTAATCCCCCAGTTACGATGTAGGCGGTGTTGACCATGTCCATGAATTCAGAGCATGGGTAAAAGTTGTCATGAGGATCCTGAGTAACATTCACCGCATTTATTGTGCTCCTTGCAGCATGCAGAGTACCAACAGACTTGTTCGAGGAGGACGAGTAGAGTACCAACAGACTTGTTCGAGGAGGACGACTACAAGTGTTTCCATATAACCTGAAAAACAAATGTGTTCATTAGTATCAGGTAGTCAGGTATTACACAAAGACCAGTCCGTTACTTTGGCAACAAAACAATAAACCAATTTATAAACCACACATTAGCTGTCCTTCTGTTGTTAAATCACAATTACAGAAAATGAAGTTATTATATATACCTTTAGAAATTCAGCTTGGTTGTGGAACTCTTCCATCTTTGGGACAAGTCATGATATTATAAACAGTATAATTGTTTGTATCAAATAAGATGTACTCACCGTAATGTCACTGGTCTCCTTCTTCCCAAAACAGGATGCTCCAGATAAATCTGATCCTGTTGGAAATAATGTTTTCCTCCTGGCCGGTTTCTGTTCGCAATCTTCGTTTAGCAAGCGTTTCTTAGTCTCTGATCCATGGGTTTCACAGAAACGGGACACAGTTTGACGGTATGAGGTTCCAAGTTTGTCAATGATATCCCTGACTCTCGTCAAGTGTAACTGACATTTTTCACAAACAAAATTAGTTGAACACTCAATTGAAATATTTGCTTCAAGATACTTCTCAAATAGTAAACAAATGTCCGTTTTTGTGTCGCCTCTGAATAATCTCCTCCTGTAATTCACATCCTTGACATCATTCCCACACACAAGGCAAACAGTAGTTTTAGTCTTGGGTGAAATATTCACAGTTTTAGAAAGTTTGGTTGGAGTTCCTGAATATTGTGGGGTAAAGGCCATCAGGACATGTTACTGAATAGTAGAATAAGCCAGATGAATATAACAGCACAGCTCCAAAACCAATAGCAGTAAAGTCACTCAAAGGAACCATGTTGGTGTTCTTTGTGTGTCAGTGACATCTGATACCACCATGCCCTGCCCTCTCCCTCCCCCCTGCCCCAAACCAAGACTGATGTCCAGGGGGGGTATAAATACAGGGATGGAATCCATGTGGCGGGTGCTGTGGACAGATCAGTTGATAAGGTGGTCAGAGAATGTGCTTTAGAAAATATATTTGGACACTTACATGTGTCCAATTTACATTTCAAGATTGCCCTGATAGGAGGCTCTGAAAATGTTTAGTCTCTGAAATCAGCATAGGGAATTTTATTTTTATTTTGAGAGTCAAGAAGGATATTGTGTAATATAAGATTTCAGAGACTAAATGTTAGTCTAGCTAGTCACATGATTAATCACGTAAGTCTATTTATAGTAAGGTACTTTCTACACCACACCAAGTCAAACACAGCACTAGAGCTATTTATCATGTTCCAACGTGCACCAATTGTACGTGGATAAATAAGGATCTCATTCGCTTCTTCGAAACTTAACTATCACTATATCCTTTCCGAGGACTTAATTCTATGGAACTATATTAGAAATGATGTTCATACACCTTACGATAGTTTCACATGAATGAATTAAAGCGTGAATAAAAAGTAACGTGTTCATCACGTGATGTTCTATATTTGGGCGGTCCACGTGGGTAGGTCTACAAGTTAGTACTTTTAGCAGAAGAACTCGTTTAGTTTTTAAAATCGTAAAATAATGCGATCAAATGTTCTTCTTGCTAAAATAAAGTAATAAATCCTAGTTCCTCATGAATCAAATACGAGTGATACGAACAGTTTTCTTAATAGTTTAACAATACATTAATTATCACTGTAAATTCAATATCTGGGAAGGCAGAATAAAATTCTGACACAATAAGCATTTGAGGCGATATTTATATGTAAAAAATCCTTTATATCTGACATCTAAGGAAGAGTGAAAGTAATAAACTACTTGCCTTTAGGAATTCCTTTATAATCCTTATTCCGTGAAATTCCATGAAAAACACAAATTACAACTACCTGTTATTTTACACACCAGCCACCTCACACTTTTGGCAGATAACATGAGATCGCTATGTGTCCCGAAAATAAAACTGGAGAATAATCGGTCCTTTTTCAATGAAGGAAAGATGGACATACAGTCCTTGAACACTGTCTTAAGCTAACACTGTCCAAACCGTAACAAGTGTTTACACATGTGTAAACACACCCATGGTCCTGAAACTAGTTAATGCACCGTATCATCTGGTCCAATGCTGATCCACTCTGCACTTGAATTTCTTCTGTACTGTAGTGTCAATACTATCCCCCGTTCAAGGATCCGGATCTGGTAGCGATGGGTCTGTCTGATTTCATACGCCCTATTGGCAAGGACGTGTCTCTGTTTTTTTAACAAAACTGGTAGGTCTGTGCGAATGAAGACCTTCTTTCTGCTTAATAAAGCTGCCATCTTAAAACTTGCCTCACGCACCATTTGTCTATACGTCATCAAAACAAACTTCGCAACAATCGGCTTGGGCCTGTCAGCGAGGGTAACCTGTGTATCGCGTCAAAATGCATTGTCTGTGCCCCGGGTATCTCCAACTCTTCCAAGAGGGCTCGTGTTGCCGTCTCCGGGTTCTCATTGTCCGGAATACCGTATAACAACAGGTTGCATTTACGAGAATGCAGTTCTTGTTCAAGAAGTTTTCTCTCGAAACTTTTACTCATTTCCTCCTGATAGTGGATGTTGTCGTCTTCTGCTGCAGTGTCATGAGATTGCCCTAGGGCAGTATATAATTCATGGAGTGAAAATGTTTCGCTATAGTCCTCACCATTATCAGAGCTAAAATTGGCTTTCTTCTTTCCCTGCTGTTTTTGAAACCTCTGAAATTGAGGGTTATAGTTTGTTGATGAGGAATGGTTTGCCAAAGTGTCACCAAGTTTTGTTGGCAATTTCAGATTTAGTAGTTCAAAGTGCATTACCATCTTTGGATCCTTACCAGATACATTACCAGATTTGGATCCTTTGCCCTTAATTTTTTAATCATGTTCACACACTGGACATGGGTCTGTGGGAATTAATTTTTGATACAAAGTTCCTCCAGGATTGACGTTTATTCTGTTTAAAGGTACGTCTCGCTTTGGCGCCCGTGAATTTAACGTATTTTTTTGTGGACAGTGGGATGTCGGTGGAAATATTTCTCAGCTTTCTTCCTATTTTTTCAAGCTTGCTTACAATCATAATCAAACCATGGTTTACGGATATGAGGGTTTGCAGAGGACTTAGGAATGCTTTCGTCTCCAATATCATTTAATATATCTGATAAAGGTTGTATAGGATCAGGAACATTCCTGAAACTTTCAGGTTTTAGTTTTGGAATAAAGACCGATTGGCCTTTGTAAAGTTCCACCTTGTTGAAGGTGGTTCATCAGACGGATTAATAGTTGTAAGTATTGTTGGAATATGGTCACTTCCACAAAGGTCATCATGGACCGACCATTCGAATTTATTGAAAATATTTGAATCTGTCAGTGAAAGGTCAAGGGCAGAGTATGTGCCAGTTGCAGGATGAAGATATATGTTATTACCATCATTGAAGATGCATAGATCATTATTTACGATAAATTCTTCAAGAACTTTTCCCTTATTATTTGTATCAATACTCTCCCACAGGGGATTTAAATCGCCCATGATGATACAGGGCTTCGGGAGCTGATCGTACAAAGTCTTAAGATCTGATTGACAGATAGTTGAGGAAGGTGGAAGATACAGTGAACACAGTGTAAACACTATGTTCAAAGTAACACGGACAGCAACAGCTTCTAGAGTAGTGATGAGTGGAACAGGGCTATGGATTGTGCCCTGTTTTACCCGGAGAGAAGAACCTCCTGCAGCTTTATCACCAGGAGGGGAAAACGAGTGGTAAGATCTGTACTGACGGATATCAAATAGATCTGTGTTTTTTAATTATGTTTCTTGGAGACAAAATGCTCGCGGTTTAAAATCTTGGATTAAAAATTGTGTTTCATTAAAATTCTTCTTAAGACCTCTGCAATTCAATTGTATAATGATTCATGGTGGGGCTTCTACAAGTGAGATGTCAGGCGAACGTGAGGAAGACTTTGTAGTTCTCCTATCAGTTTCATGTGGAGATGGAGTTACCTCCATGTCCAGAGGACCAAAGGACCAAAGGAGTGATCAGCGCAAGAAGGTCAACCAGCATGCATAGCGCGCATGACCCAGATCTGGGAGGTGACCGTCGCGATGTGAGGTATGACAGGGTTAATTAACTTTAGAAACTGGGAACTTATATTTCAGACACGTTTCCACTCAGAATCGAAAGAAGAAAGAGAAATGCAAAGTGTGAGATAAGATAAGTTTAAAAATCATTTGTTACATTTGACCACATACTCAATGGCATTGTGTGTTAACTGAAGAGGACCATTCCCAACTGACATGCTGCCCACCGCAAGCGTTGTCTGCATCACTGTAGACGTCGACCTTAAAGTTTCCGCCGTCGGGATGGGCTTTCTGGTTGGGCGCCACGCACGGGTGCCGCACACGCCTTTGGACAGTCCTCGCAGATAGGCCTGTGTCGCCAGGGATTGTACGGGCTTTGAGATTGCTACCTTGAACCTGTGTAGAAGATGCGTAGTTCGAATCCATACATTTTGGCGAGGGCTTGTCACGGGTGGGCGAACACTATGAAGTGTTTCTCTCGTGTGTTTCGAGTGTTCATAACACTGCCATAAGTGCCGCATGGTGGATGCTGATTTGACGTGCTACTGCGGAGTACCAGATTCGCGTGTTCCCAGCTTACCATCTATCATCAGGCATGGGATGTGAAACCTCATCAAAATGTTCAAAAATGAACGAAATGATATATTGGCCTTTAAAAATAGCTTTTGAAGCTTTTTGAATATTCGTTATTTCTTTCAAAAGTAATGCAATACCAGCGTAATTTGTTTCTTGCGTTTCTATTCATTGCGTAACGATTCGGCCCCTCCCCCCACCCGACAATCAAATAGATGCTCCCCTACTGGTCTGGTTGATAGAGCGTCTGCCTGGAGAATGGAAGGTCGCTGGTTCGATGCTCAGCCGAGTCAAGCCAAAAGACGTTAAATATGGTACTTGTTGTTACCCTGCATAGCGTTCGGCATTAAGAGGCTAAAACAAGGACAGGTCGACTCGGTGTCACACAAACACATACACGCGCGCACACACACACACACACACACACACACACACACACACACACACACACACACACACACACACACACACACAGAGAGAAACAGAGAATACTGGTAATCATTATTCAGTATTAACTTCAACAATCAGGACTTCAGGTGGGTTTAATACATTTGAGGAAATGGCAAATACGGTTATAAACAGCGAATGTGGACAATGAAAAACAAATTTCGAACTGTGTTATCTGCACTTAGCATACCTGTGCCAAATATTTATTTATCCTGACATATTGTCACGTTGTCTCATTAATGTAGCCGGCTCTGTATCTGCAGAACAAAGGCTTGAATAGACTTTCTGTGCTGGTCTCTGTGAGCAAGGCAAAAACTGATTAATTGGCTCTGGATGCTTTACATGTGCTTAAAGGTTTAGGTTTATAAACAAAGGCGTACCTACTTCACCTAATCGGAGGAAAGGCATCTTTGCAATGGCAAAAAGAAGCAAAATGACTCTGTCAACATCTGTCGTCAAACCATTAAGTGACTTGGGATTATATATGCGCTTTTGTCCATATGAGATGACAAGTACTAGGAGGCGGAAATTGATCCATATATCGAACCTGGAACTTGGGCCCTGTGACACCACACGACACTCATAGGGTTTTGTTGAACAGGTCAGACCAAAGATACAATTCTATTATTTGACACATATTAAATGGTATTTACACAATAAAATCTTTGTTAAATGCATGTGGTATAGCACATTTTACATTCGTTACTTTACATATATACACACAAATTCAAACCTCTCTCCACAAGACTGTTTGACAAGAGAAATGATTTCAACTGTCAAAAAGTCAACTTTATTCTTTCTTCGTAGATTTTAAAGAGAGTTGTCATGCGACTATTGATCGAAAGGCCTCAGCAAAGCTTTCAAAATATGGTATGGAAATCATTTCCAAATTCGGCGTTTGTCCGATACAGTTCCCTATTCTGACTTGTACGATATGTTCCAATGTATTCTTAGGGGAACACTATTATCGCAGCTCCAGCTTCTGGTGTTCTCTGTAAAGCTTTCAAATAGTTTGTGTTTGTGACGGGTGGGGCAGGATAAGCTCACGTATTCGCGGAGACAAGATATCTTCACAATTTGATAGTTATTCATAAAGACTTGCTCATGCTATCGTACAATAAACTCTGCAAAATAATTTATGGTGAACATGTGGAGGACATGTACAAATTTGACGTTTTAGTGACAAAAACGATGTCCTTGCAATTCTATATTTTGTCATGTACCGTATGTTCCCGTTGTTTTTCAGCTAACAATTGACTTGCCTTTGTATGTGTTTGTGACAGGTGCCCCTAGGGGAAGGATACGTTCACCTTTTCGCGAACACATGACATGGTCACTATTATATAGTAATTCATAAAAATAAAATATCAACGCCAGATTACATTGTACTTAAGAGTCAATAAAAAACGTTGGAAACTATAAACATATATCACTTAAAATCAGTATTGAAACCAGGTGATCGCGAAAACACATGCTTCTGACAAAGTCGGAATCGTATAATTGTCACTACTTTTGGTATCGATTTCTTATGAGTATGGCATTTTTTGGTCGCCTTTGTTTAATCGACTTGATCATTACGTACACACAGCAAACGCCCTAATTTGTATGTACTCGTAAATTCACAATAGAAGTCTGGTAAATAAGCTATAAACAATTCATTCCATCCGATCAAAAGTGGTGAAAAATACCTACAATTGGAAGATTGTGTGTTGCAATACTCACCAGGCATGACAGATTAACTACAGGCATATGAAAAAATGGGTGTGTTTTAAACTCTTTTGTGTCGGGTATTACAACCAGGACAAATGCTACCCGTGAAGATCCGGATTAGAATAGGTCTTCAGCAACCCATACTTGCCGTAAAAGGCGACTATGCTTGTCGTAAGAGGCGACTAACAGGATCGGGTGAACAGGCTCGCTGACTTGGTTCATGCATGTCATCGTATCGCAATTGAGTGGATCGATGCTCATGATATCGATCACTGGATTGTCTGGTCCAGATTATTTACAGACCGCCGTCATATAGCTGGAATAATTGCCGAGTGCGTCGTTAAACAACAAACAAACTACAATGTAACAAAGCTGGACAAATTCATAAACATGATTCAATTGAATGCCACATCTGCCTTCGCACTGTCGTTTTAGTAAACTATTACATATTTATTTGAGAAGAATACTACGCACCTACATCACTTCGGGATTTCCTCCCACATTAAGCTGACATGCCGCGATATAACTGGAATACTGTTAAAAGCGGCGTTAAACCCATATCACTCACTCACTCAATCACTCATAGTGCTTCTTCAGTATATAACGTCAACGGTAGCCCATAATTAGTCGCGTTATCTGTCGATCTGCAGAAACAGGTTCAATGGGGCTAAAAATGAAAACAAGCGGTGAAAAATATAAGAATGTAAAAATCATTGATGACGCAAGGTGTTCGCGAAAACGCATGCTTATGATATAGTCAGAATCTTACAATGAATTCGAACTACTTTTGGTAGAGATATCTTTTGATAACGTAATGTGTGTTGTCATTATATTTAGTCATCCTCATATGCACACAGCAAACTCTTCAAGTTATATGTCGTCGGAAATGTCCAGTAGAATTCTGGTAAATAAACTTTACACAGTTTATTATAAACGTTGCAAATGAGCACAATATGACATTTATTCCATCTGATATATTACAAACAACAAAAAATTCATGAAAAGATTCAAATGATAGCTATCTTTCTTCGCACTGTGGTTAAATTAATAAATTACATCTTAATTTTATACCTGACACGTGTCTTTCATTGACAACGTTCAGATATCTTTCAGATTCAACCTTATCATATTCTCTGTGGGTATCTATTCAGTACTATTATTAAATGATGGCCTTCAGTTTTTACAAAATACATTTTAGAGTCATGGTTGAAAATAATCTAATAAAATATATATCGTCTCCAACAGATTGATTTAATCATATTAACCCAAATCCATGTGAAGATTGATTTGATCATATGAACCTAAATCCACATGAAAACAAATGCGATCCATGTTTGTTTGTTTTGTTGTTCATTCGACACATTTGGGTAACGGGGAACATATTGTGTTATGTTACAGTTAGCTGGTAATAATGGCTTCTCACCCATGGGTAACGGGGAACATATTGTGTTATGTTACAGTTAGCTGGTAATAATGGCTTCTCACCCATGGGTAACGGGGAACATATTGTGTTATGTTACAGTTAGCTGGTAATAATGGCTTCTCACCCATGGGTAACGGGGAACATATTGTGTTATGTTACGGTTAGCTGGTAATAATGGCTTCTCACCCATGGGTAACGGGGAACATATCGTGCAATGTTACGGTTAGCTGGTAAAAATGGCTTCTCACCCATGGGTAACGGGGAACATATTGTGTTATGTTACGGTTAGCTGGTAATAATGGCTTCTGAATATGAAATGTTTGTTTCCATGTTTCTTGTTTCACGCCGAAACTCAACAATAATCAAGAAATATGATGGTGGTCTGTAAAGAGTCAAGTCTGCACCAGGCAATCAGGTGACTGACATCATGAACATCAATCAACGCAATTAGGGGGATACGATGACAGCTACATGTACCAATGTATAATAATCCGTGTTGTCAAGACACAACCCGATTTTATAACCCTATTTAGGAATTCATATATATTTCCGTGCATCTGGTCAGTGTTATTGAATTATAACATTGACATTTGGCTAATCGTCACCAAACCTTTGATAAGCCACCCTGCAGAAGATATACATAAAGTTGAAAAATAAATGCATAAAAACGTTTTGAGAAAGTGTAGTGAGTAAGTTTTGTTTTACGCCGCTTTTAGCAATATTCCAGCAATATCACGGCGGGGGACACAAGAAATGGGCTTCACACATTGTACCAATGTCGGGATTCGAACCCGGGTCGTCGGCGTGACGATCGAACGCTTTAACTACTAGGCTACCTGACCGCCCCTTGAGAAAGTGTAACGACAAATTAAACCTTCATTGTGAGTTTTGTCTGTCTTCGGATGTTGGCCTTTTGTCTTTTATGACACTGACCGTAATAATTCGAAAGGATAAATTGGTAAGACATTGGAGTGAGTGAGTGAGTACGGTTTTACGTCGCTTTTAGCAATATTCAAGCAATAGCACGGCGGGGGACACCAGAAATGGGCTTCACACATTGTACCCATGTCGGGAAGCGAACCCGGGTCTTCGGCGTGACGATCGAACGCTTTAACCACCAGGCTACCCGAACGCTCCGTAAGACATTGGAAACATTACTGGCCAAATTCCAGCGTTTCATATTTGTGTTACATGAACACTCATCAACAAGAGTTTCTTATTTCTCAAGCTCTCGTATGGAATCCGTGTTAGAATTGGTCCCCAGAAACCTATGGTTGGTAAGACTCAGATACTTGTTTTGTCCTACCCCGCCGATGTGGATCGTTGCTTATAATATCGATCACTGGATTATCGGGGCCAGACTCGATTATGTACGCGCTGTTGTTTAGCTGGGATATGCCGTGATAAAGAACAAGCAAGCCAACAAACAAAATAACCTTTCGTTGTGCAGTTTACTACTTCAATCCGAAAATGGAACATTTCGTGACCAGGACAAGATGAGTGATTCTGAAACAATTCCACCGTTGTTGATGGTGGGCAACAAGTATGCTTGACAAACTCAAGATTGCTTGTTTGCGTATTCAATAGTCCAGTCAAAATGTCATAGGCTTCACTATAAAGCGCACCGTTCCACAGGCAATACTGTTCACATTCTGAACTCAGATCACCATAGTTTATTCCACTACATAGTGTACACACATACATAACACCCTTGGCAGTACCGAAAAAGGTCTTTTTGACGTACATGTATGTAAAGGTTTATTTGCTTCTTCGTGTGACATAAAACGTTAACGCCAAAAACGTGGAACGCCCAACGTGTACAGAGGTCGTTCCAATATGTATCTGTCCAATAAATGCCGAGATGATCTCTTGTGGTTCCGGTTCAGCAGACTGTAAGTATTTTCACATCGCATTCAATGATTTCAAAGGTCTTTTTGGCAGATGTAGTACTTTGCTTCTCCCCTCCGCCTGTCTTGCCACGTAAATGCATTGCTAACTTTGCTGGCTACGATGTAATCATGCCGAGCCGTTGCATTAGCCGGGTGGCCTGGACTCCAGGCAAAATAAGTCATGGGCCGGCCATCATGGAAAACCCATTGTCCTTCATTTGCCGCATCTGAACCATCGAAATAGTAGCTACTGGTCATAGTTGCTGAAAGTTTAATAAAGGAACCATCATTTTGTTATCCATTGAAAAGCGAGAAGCATTTATTACTGATAAATGAATTGAAGTGAGCAAAATGGAAGATTATATGATTGATAGTGTCGGCACTGATCCAGTTTGCAGGAGTTCAATGACAATTTATTAACTTTTATATGGTTAAGGGAGCATGGTTGGGCTATGGGGTTTTGTTGTTGAAATGCAGCTTCGATTCCCAATAAGGGTATATTGTGAGATATCCATTCTTGTTGTTTCACACAGTGATATTGCTCGAGTGTGGCGTATGATGCACATAGATATGGTCTGTTATAGGATGGTTTCCAGATAGATGCCCGATTCGAAACACACCACACTAACATCCCTGCCACAGTGTACCTGGGTAATGAAAACTGCAACACGATTCGCTTCCTACACCACTTGCCTTCAAAAAGTGAGTGAGTTGGGTTTAGCGCCGCTTTTATCAATTTTCCAATTATATCACGGCGTGCAAGCTTAATGTGGGAGGAAAGCCTGAAGTGATACAGGTCTCAGACGTTTACCACTTCGCTGAAACCCACGAGCACGGATTTGGTGTTGACAAACCTAAAAACATAATCGGGGCGAACCGGGATTCGAACCCACATAAAAGGTTTCTGGCGTGCCAAAGGGACGCAACTCTGCACAGCGAATCGCGACGCCTTAGACGACTGGGCCACCCGTGCCCCCTCCTTCAAATACGTGTACTGATATTGTCGATGTTTCTGTGTACTTGTGAGGTTAGAATTACCGAGAGGGTACTGATGTTTTGCCGCCATCGCCAAGCGCAATGGCGGAGAGAGTCTTTACTTGTCCGGTTTCCAACTCGATAAGTATCTAAATATACTCAGCAACAAAAGTTCCTGTGACACCATTATTTTAGTGTATTTTTCAAACAAATAAAGTTTGGTTTTCAATATTGTAGTACATGTATGGAATCAAGTCACAAGAACGCAACTGTTACAGAAAAGCATGTATTCCATGCAAAAGTTGACTTTTGTGCAAGCCCCATGCATTTCACTACCCAGGAATGGGTGTAAAAACATGAAAGAGTGGATTCCATATGCATTGTTTAGCATCGTGCTGACAACAACCACTCAGGAAAACGAAACAATTACGCAATTATTCAACATTACGAAATGCCACGCCTGTCCGAAAATGAGCGTCTGCGAGCCATTGGTATGATTGAAGCAGGATCGAGTCAACGTGATGTTGCAAGACAATTTAACGTCCACAGAAACACCATTTGGTGTTTATGGCAACATTGGCAACAGACGAATGCAGAGACCATCCTCGGATTGGCAGGCCACGCGTAACCAATAATCGACAAGACAACTGCATTGGAACAACACACCTGCGAAATCGATTCCAGCCAGCAACAGTGACTGCAAGAAGCATCCCTGGCCCCTGACGAATATCTTCACAAACCGTACGTCGCCGCCTCAGATGTGCAGGGATTGTCGCCAAAATACCCGCCAGGCGTCCCATTTTGACAGGAAACCACCGTCAAGCACGTCTACAGTGGTGCAGACAGCGTCTACGCTGCACGGCCATGCATAGGGGACAAGTTCTATTCACTGACGAGTATCGTTTTGACCTCAGCCACATGGATGGACGGGTTCGAGTGTACCGACGTCGAGGTGAACGCTACGTCAATCATTGTGTCATTGACGAAGATCAGTTCGGGGGCGGCAGCGTTATGGTATGGGGTGGGACAGAGGACCCGTTTGATAGTGGTAGAGGGAAATCTCAATGGACAGCGCTACCGCGACGAGATCATCGGCCCTGTTGTTCTACCGTTTTTGCGTCGTCATGGCCCAGGCATTACCTTTCAACATGACAACGCCCGGCCTCATATTGCTCGACTTGTTCAGGATTCTCTTAAAACAAACCATGCATGTCATCCCCTGGCTGGCTCGCTCCCCTGAGCTCTCACCAATCGAGCACATGTGGGATGAGATGGATCGGCGCCTTCGACGTCAACCACGTGTTCCACAGACACTCCAGGAACTTCGAAACATGCTCCAGCAGATATGGACAGATATCCCACAGGACTTTGTGCGACGCCTGGTCCAGTCCATGAGACGAAGATGTGTTGCTTGCATCGCAACCAGAGGTGGCCACACACGCTATTGATTGTGGCATGTTCATGGTTTATTTTTAAGAAATCACGCATTTTCTGAAGTCAGAATGGCAAATTGAACCATTTGAACACTTACAGGAGTCTGTTATCTTTTGCAAACCGAAATTGTTTCAGATTTGGTAAACAACATAACTTTGCATTAAATCTTATTCAATGTCACAGGGATTTTTGTTGTTCAGTATATCTAAATATAAATATTCGTATGTGAAGGCAAGTGTTTTAGGAAGAGAATCATGTTGCATTTAACGATAGTGCACGACTCAGACGCTTTGTTAACGCTTTTAAAGTCCGATGCAGATTTGGATCGGGGATCTTGTAGAAAAACATGTTCGACAGTCAGTAACAAAGTCAAAATCGCTTATAGGAAGCAACGGTTACCGCAGCTATCAAATACCCCGATAGATAACCATATCTTGTAATTGAACTGGGGTGTTCTGAAGGGGCCAACACTGATTCGCTGTATTTGGCAGATATTTCTTGTGATTATGGAAATGGTCTTGTCACTTTTCTTTGTACATTTGTTTGTGTAAATTGTAATGAATGTTTTGCTTTGGGCAGATATAGGTGAATGTGTAGGCATCTATACAAACCTGATGACGATGTGATCTGCTTGACCACATGGCTCTGTTTGTCCGAACTGTCAATAACAACAAAGTGTTCTCCTCTGGACGTACAGTCAGCAAGACCATCGTCGTACGGGAGCTTGTCGTGATGAAGCTTGTAGCAGAAGTTGAGGCGGCGGTTATGGACGTAGCCAGATGGACAAGCACCTGCGGTAGACCAGAACAGTTATCATCTATATTTTAGAAAATGAGTGAGTGAGTGAGTTAGGTTTGACGCCACTTTGAACAATATTCCGATATATCACGGCGTGTCAGCTTGTTGAGGGACGACAGACCAAAGTGATGCGGGTCTAAGACGTTGACCAATTCGGTAAAACCTCAAGCAAGAATATGGTACATAAATCCTGGAAACATAATCCTATAAGATAAAGATACAAACCTACACACTGTTTCTGACAAATCGAAGAACAATTGAATGAACTATACACTGCAGAAAAGAAACGCAAAATTGATTTTAGATGTATATGTTGTATATAATATAAATAAGCAACAGATGATAATCGATAATTCTCATTGACCCAGGTTCCATATGGCCCACAGGTCATCTGTTCTCAATATCTTCTGTGGTCACGTCGTCCAATGGAGACGATCAGATCCTGAATTGTGGCCTGGGGAATGTTCATCCACTCTTCCTGCAATGCCTGTGACAGTCGTTGATGAAATAAGTAACTCAGAGAAAAAAAACCAACCCAATGAGAACCATTGCAGTATGCACATAGCCTCTTTTGGCGTATGTTATGTTGGCAGACACAGCTAAAATTTGGTTTTAGGCATAAATTAAGCTTTATTTTGACCAACCTGTGAAAAGCCCAAGCGTCTAGTGCCTCTGAACCAAAGATGGCAAACTATTGGTGTGCACCAGACTGGCATGTCATGTCGTGCTATTGGAGCACAACTGAACATCAATCACACTGTCATCAGCAGGCTAATACGTAAGCATACTGCTTTGGTGAAGTAAAGGATGCACCGAGGTCTGGACGTCCAAGAAAAAACCAATGACAGGGAAGATCGTGCTCTCGTATGCAAAACCAGACGAAGCCCAAAGTCTACTTGTACACAGCTGCGACATGGATGGCATCCATACAACAGAGTGTCCATCAGCACCACCAGACGACGCCTAAATTCTGCAGGATTGAGAGCAAGACGACCAATCAGACGTCCACTCCTCACAAATCAGCACCTCCATGCCCGTTTAGCTCGCTGGAACTTGAGGACATGGAGAAGGATCCACTGGTCCGATGAAAGCAGATTTTTACTGCATCATACAGACGGGAGGGCACGAGTTTGGAGGCAGAGAGGTACAGCATATGATCAGAGGAACATTCAAGCTGATGTTCCATTTGGGGGTGGATCCGTCATGGTGTTGGGTTATTGTCCCTACGATTGTAAACTTGACCTCATCACAGTTCCCGGAACACTGAATGGACAGAGGTACCAGAACTTGATCCAGGACGGTGCTGTTGTACCTCATTTCGATAACCATGCTTTCGCCACACGTCCAGTCTTCATGGACGATAATGCCAGACCACATCGTGCTCGAGCTGTTGTTCAGCATCTCCAACACAACACCATTGAGACACTACCCTGGCCTGCCAGAAGTCCAGACATTAATCCTACAAAGCATTTGTGGGACATTTTGGGACGTAGGGTGAGAGCAAGGGATCCCCCAGTTCAGAACCTTCAGGAATTGACCCATGCATTGCATGATGAGTGGCAGCAGATCCCCCCATCAGAGATTCAGACGTCTGGTGACCAGACATGTTACATGTTATCCAAGCGCGAGGAGGTTGCACAAGATACTGAGTTAGCCAGTACTACTAGTGTGTTTGATATTAATGAAATGTGAACTGCGTCGTGTGTCTGTTGTAACGACTTAGGCAGCCATACGTATTTCACCTTATTTCACGATGATCTTAGTGAACTTTAGTTTGCTACAATTAAACCCTCAGTTAGGACTCAAATTCGGTCTTGTGTTGTCAATTTTCTGACTGAACGCTCACATGAGGCAATATAAACAGTTTAATGAGCTTTTCTAAGCACCATTTTTATGAGGTTGAAGATTCAGTTTTACTTAGTGAAGAAAAGTGAGTGGTGCTTTATTTATGACGAGGTGTGTATATAAAACGACAGAGCCCTTTTCATATTCAATAGAAATCTCTACATAAATCAGAGTCGATAGTACGATTCCGACTTTATCATGAGCATGTGTTTATAAATCACTATCAAATATACTCAACAACAAAAGTTCCTGTGACACCAATGTATTTAGTGTAGTTTGGTTTTCTATATTGTTGTACATGTATGGAATCAAGGCACAAAAACGCAACTGCAACAGAAAAGCATGCATTCCATGCAAAAAATTGACTTCAATGCACGCTCCATGCATTTCATTAGCCAAGAATGGGTATAAAAACATATGCGTTAACGGGATTCCATATGCATTGTTTAGCATCGTGCTGACAACAACCACTCAGAAATACAACAAAATTACGCAATTATTCAACATTACGAAATGCCACGCCTGTCCGAAAATGAGGGTCTGCGAGCCATAGGTATGCTTGAAGCAGGATCGAGTCAACGTGATGTTGCAAGACAATTTAACGTCCACAGAAACACCATTTGGTGTTTATGGCAACGTTGGCAACAGACGAATGCAGTCAGAGACCATCCTCGGAGTGGCAATCCACGCATAACCAATAATCGACAGGACAACTGGATTGGAACAACACACCTGTGAAATCGATTCCAGCCAGCAACAGTGACTGCAAAAAACATCCCTGGCCTTCGACGAATGTCTTCACAAACCGTCCGTCGTCGCCTCAGATGTGCAGGGATTATCGCCAGAAGACCCGCCAGGCGCCCCATTTTGACAGGAAACCACAAATCAAGCACGTCTATAGTGGTGCAGACAGCGACAAGTTCTATTCACTGACGAGTCTCATTTTGACCTCAGCCACAGCGATGAACGGAATCGAGTGTACCGACGTCGAGGTGAACGCGACGTCAATCATTGTGCCATGGAAGAAGATCGGTTCGGGGGCGGCTACGTTATGGTATTGGGTGGGATTACAGCAAGACAGAGGACCCGTTTGATAGTGGTAGAGGGAAATCTCAATGGACAGCGCTACCGCGACGAGATCATCGACCCTGTTGTTCTACCGTTTTTGCGTCGTCATGGCCCAGGATTTACCTTTCAAAATGACAACGCCCGGCCTCATATTGCTCGACTTGTTCAGGATTCTCTTCAACAAAACAACGTGAATGTCATCCCCTGGCCGGTTCGCTCCCCTGATCTCTCACCAATGTATATAATGTCACGTTAAAACGTTATGGCTCCGCAGTCGGACTTGTGTTTTCAGGACGTATCGGTTGGAATTACTATGACAGGTATAACTTGGTTACTGCTTCCTAACTGTAACATTAACTTAACTTATCGCCATTTTTTTGACAAATGTCGAGTTGTCGTTGGTTAATTTTCACGCGTTTTGCATGTTTTTGTGAGGACGACAATGCGACAACGCGACAATGTCCCTTCTATGCCTAACATGCCCATTAAAAGTTTAAATGATAAAATGCATTGTTGTGGCTTCTGATTTCATAGCTCCTCAATGAGGATTACCAATAATGGGATGGGTTATGAGTTTAAATGCAGGCCGATGTCAGAGTCTAAAACGTTTTGATTAACAACTATGCGCAAATGTATGACATATTATTGATCCACGTCAATGCTTTTGACGGACAAAATGTGCCCCCCTGAGAGGGTATGTAAGACCACCTTCATTGAAAGTAAATTATCTGCCACTGTTTTAACCGCAGTATATTTGTATTTTTAATTTACGGCTAATCTGGTCAACATTCGCCAATCACTAAAGGAATGGTGTAAATCCTGTTGGGGAATCATGTAGGTAGCAAAGGTACTGTAAGTCCCCGTGGTACCTATTATGGTGGCCTAACTTTAGTTGTTGGCGATCAATAGCCTGTTTTTATAATGTGTCGTCTGTGGTGATTTAATGTTTATTTTATTGATCCAAAACTAGCTTTAAAGTTCTAAAATCTGTGATATATTGCTAGTTGTTGTAGTGCCCTTTGACGACAGTTTTTATATATGCTATTACTTGTTCAAGTCACGATATGGTTGAAATATTGCCGATCTGACTTTTAATATTAACTCACTCACTCACGTTTCGACTCTTATTGGCTGAAAAAAAGGCTTCAATAACAGGAAATTAATAGAGCCCTTCTGACAATCTGGGTAATGCAGAAGGCTGCAGCTGCTGTAATATTCCAGAAATATCACGGCAGGAGACTTAAATGGGCTTCACACATTATACCAATGGGGGGAATCGAACCCTGGTCTTCGACGTGACGAGCGAACACTTTAACCACAAGGCTACTCCACCGCTCCCCTCGATAATATGTTTGTGTACTCAGAATACTTCCTTCACGTTCTATGAACAATATCAATATCAACTCTCACCTGTCGTTAAGCTGTAGTACTCGGTGCCTTCCTCTTGGTCTCCGTCCCCGGGTGACATGAACAACACGTCATGGAACTGACACCGTCGGTGTTTCTGTATGTAAAACACAGACACACAAGCTTCATTGTGGAGACACAGAAGTAAACATAGTTTACCACTGTAAATATTTGAAATTTCAGACGTGACGCTTGTTGACACAAGAACATTGTCAAATTCTTTCCATTTAACTCCAGATCCCGTCCTTATCATAGCAGGAGCATAATGCACTAAGCAAAGGACAATTAGCTTCAGAAGCATTACGTCCTTCTCAACTAGTTGCCAGTCAGTGTGTGGCGAGAAGCTTTGAATTATGTCTGAACAGTGCACTGTGAGGCTAGCGACACAAAATCAAAGCGTGAATACATCTGTTGTTGAGCTGTTGCCATGGGTTCAGCTTCAGTGACATGAGTGGGTTTTGTTGCCTTGTTCTGGGTATACGTATAGAACCATGAGTCAGTGTGTGGGTGCTCTTCATAGCTGCTGACAGTAAAATAAAATGTCAGCCAATTGATAGGAGTTGATTGTTGAGAGAGAGAATAATTGGTTATGATAAGAACATATTTACTCCTAAAAAACTGCATTCTGTTCTGAATATATCCGATAATGGACACCTGTAATGATAATGGTAGACATTAACAAATAAACGATATATGGTTTTATTTCTCACCAAATTGATAATGTTTTACTTGGAATCATCAAAAAGTTGTATGTAAAAAAAACTAGCTTCGGATCTGCTCACTATTACTCTCCTATTCGTCAAAACCTATTGCACCGTACAATCGACCACACTGTTTCTACGAAGATTTCTACGAGCGTCATAAGACTTGCTCAAAAGTTGTTTGACCAACGTTGCAACATTTAAGGCCACAGTACGAAACCGACCATTTGATATTCTCCTGGGGCCTGGGATTTTATCGACAAAAATAAATTGTCCCCGAAAAATCTTGAAAAATGTAATCATGCTTCGGACTGTGAAAAAAAGAAATTGCCTGCCACAAAAATAACACTGTTTCAATGTGTTTTTCTTCCAAAATGATTCATGCCCAACGTTTTGAATAAAAAAATAAATCTGGTTTGGTAGCTGTTGTTGAACAAATTTCTAATCTCGATACAATATCCAAAATATCAATGGTCGGTGTTTTAAGTGACAGCTGTTTATGTGGCCTCTATGAGCAGTTTGGAGATATTTTACCTGGGCTTCAATTACTAATTCATGCTAGTCATTGTTGTCGTTTCAACTCATTCTAAATCCATTTTATATTTAATTCTACTTTTGACTAGATTCAATATGTAAAACACATGTGTTGATCCTGATCCAAGTGAACCAGATTTTAGCCATATAAATTGTTTTTGTGAACCTGAAATGACTCGTTTTCAACTGTTATTAAAACGTTCCAGAGAACCACGGAACAGATGGTCCCGCGAGTCAAATAATAGTTAAAAATAAGCGACACTCGACGAAGTAAGAGACAGCTTCGAATTCCTCAACATTTGCAGGACTATCTTCAAAGTGAACCTGATCCAAGTGAACATATTCAGGATGGTGTGAGGTCAGTGACTTCTGTTATTCCTTCCCGCTCATGTTTTTCTGATTTTTCATCTACAGCTTCCTAACATTTGTCAGAAAAACAACAAGCTGAGATTCAGAAAAGCACAGAAATTACGTTACCTGCAGAAACAACACTAAGAAATTCTTCATGATAAAATGAAAGATACGTAATGAATGCTTGAGAGAAAAGCAGAGAATTCAATCATCCCTGCAAAGACATCGTCAAATGAGGCAAGTAGAAGCCGAATTAGAAATGGCATCGTTATTCATGGTATGGTTTCTGAAAATCATGAAGACATTGTTTTACCAATTAAAACTGAAACTGACATTGATGATAAATTCAATGTTGATGTATTTGTGTCTGAAGTGTCAAAGGTCACCGGTGCTACACACATCACATACAGTATCAATGCCAGTGTTTCACCTGGTATCAAGTCTCAATGCCGATGCCAAAGAATTCAACTTACATTTTTAAGTGCCAATTTCTTCTCAGAATGTTGAATTTTCATTACCCAACATTACTTCTTTGAGTTTGAACTCAAATGTTACAGCTTTCCAAAGTGTCAACTATGCCTGTTACCATGACAACAGTCTCAACATCTCAAACCTCAGGGACAGCGTCCTGTCCTAGTACCAGGACAACTGAGCCAACCACATCTGTGTTCACATTTGCAGAGCCAATCTCTGTAAAGTCGGGGGTATTTTCATCTCACAATTCAAGTGGTGCCATTCCAAAGAAACCTCAGGTTATCATGAAACAGAAATATGAACATAAACATGCAAAGCCCCAACGTGTGTCAAATGTCACATATCCAGGTCACGTGACTAGTCTAGACTTTCCAAATGTCTCACCCTACAAGCCAGTGTTTTCACAATATGACCCAATTGTGCCTCCATATCAGACAGGGATGTCTACATTTCATACATATCTAACATACACCAGTGGTATTAATCCAATGCCAAGCATTCCACAAATAACACCTCAATCAAATGTCATGCCACAAGCCTGTACTTACTATCCACAACAACAGCATCCTATCGCAAATGCACCAAATTATGAACCACTTCTATCAGCATATGGTGCAAAAACCAAGATTACCCATGTTTATCAGTGGTAAAGAGAAAGACTTTGCTGTTTTGCAGATGGCACTTGAAAGTCTCCTTGATATTCACTCACCGCTCAGTGAAAGGTATAGATATTGAGTGCTCTCAGACCGTTCAGGAGGTAAACCACTCACCCTCGCTACAAGCTTTCTCCGTTTTCCCACACCTTACACCAAGGCTGTTGAAGCGTTGAAGGAGAATTATGGGCAAGATCATAACCTAGCTAGAGGTGAGATCTATCGCATATTAACTCTCCCCACTGTCAAACCTGGTGATTACGAAGCTTTTTTATCAATTCAGTCCCTTGTCCGATTGTTGACATCTGTAGATGGTAATGACTTCTATGCACTGAAAACGGCCTCACATGTTGATACGCTTCTTAAGGAGTTGCCAGGCTCCTTACGTGCCAACTTTGTCAAGTACTGTTTGAATAAAGGGGTGATCAGTAATACCAAATACTATGATCTTGTGTCCTTTTCACAGTGGTTGAATGTCAAGTCAAGGGCAAGAAGGATAGCAGCACATGCAGTTGCTGACAAGACAAACACAACTAAGTCAGATTGAAAAAACAATTACGTCTTACCAATCTTACTGTGCTTATTGTAACAGCAAGGACCATCACGTGAATGCATGTGAAAGTTTCAACAAGTTGGAACAAAGGATGTACTTCAATGGATAAAGGACAAAAACAGGTGCACCCGTTGTGGCAGGAATCATAAAGAGCAATACTGCAACCTTAAGAAACCATGCCGAAAGTGCAAAGGTCAACATCTAACCATACTTCATGCTATCCATGAACTGAACAATAACACCGTGAAGAAGACAACTTCATTCTATCTAGACCATCCTAACAATGTGATGTTGAAAATTGTTCCTGTAACATTACATGGCAAATGTGACATTGAAACTTTTGCCTTGCTGGATGATGGGTCCATGCGAAGCATGATATTGTCATCTGCGGTTAATGACCTTGAACTGTCAATAAAACCTGACTCCATATTATTGACAACGATCCGATCTTAACCTTTTCCTTGTGATGGTCATAGAGTGGACCTCTCTATTTCATCACCCTTTGATCCAGATACAAAGTATGAAATCAATAATGTGTTCACCTGTGAACAAATGAACCTATCCAACTACACATATCCTGTCTGTCCTGGACTCAATCCAAGCTAAACCATTTTGCCTTCACAACCCTTGAGGACAAAAAAGGTATATGGTTCTGTTGCATACCTCAAGTCAGAGATCATCTCATGTCTCCTTTGTTGCAGCACGAATCAATGCCCCGCCTTGAACTGAGCAAAAAGTCATCGTTCAGCAACTGTGGCATCAGAAACCTCAATCGGAAGGACCACTTCCAGAATGGCATCTGTGGGAATCTGAATTGAAACTTATGAACCAAGTCTCACTTCCAAGATGCATTGATCCACCTGAACCAGTCAATCAGATACAGTTACATATTTTCTGTGATGCATCAAAAAGGGAATATGGTTCTGTCGTATACCTCAAGTCAGAGACAAAAGATGGATTGTTGCAGCATGAAGCAGAGTAGCTCCTCAGAAAGCCCTCTCAATGCCCCGCCTTGAACTGTTAGCTGCTCTAACATGAGCCCAGCTTGCCAACACGCTCACCAGTGAAATGAACATTGACATTCACAAAGTGATCTTGTTGAGTGACTGTCCTAGCATGGTTGACGTCCCAATCATGTCGCTACAAAGTGTTTGTGGGAACTCGAGTAGCTGAAATTCAAACACTTACTTAGCATCATGACTGGAAATATCTCCCATCGGAGGAAAACCCAGCTGATGATATCATCAGAGGAAAGACACTGCAGTACTTGTGTGCAGAGACAAGATGGAGAAATGGCCCAGCATTTCTAAACATATCAGGAACCAAATGGCCTCTCGGTGATGCAAAACCGAAACCTGAAACTGAGACCGAAAGATTTTTGCAGTCACATCACAGTTCAACCCAAAACTGATACATCTCTACATCAATCGTGGAAAAAACTCCTTGATGCCACAATCAATACTATCGAGGATCCCAATGGGGCGGCCTCCATCAATGTTACCGATGTTGAGAAAGTTGAACTACAACTGTATCGCCAAGTTCAGGAAGAATGCTTTCCAGATGAAATGAAAGCATTATCCAAAGGTATGAAAATAGTATCTAACAGCAAGCTCTCGCAACTCAGTCCAGAGTATGATAAAGATCATCACGTCATACGTGTTGGTGGTAGACTGAGATGTGATGGATGAACTGTCAATCGATGTTAAACATCCCATCGTGCAAGATCCAAGTCATAATGTTACAAAGCTCCTCATAAAGAAATATGACTCTGACCTCCATCACTATGGTGCTGAAAGACTTCACGGGGACATCAGAAGGAAATTCTGGATTCGTCGAGGCAGTGAAGCTGTTACAAAACACCAGAGACAATACCATGATTGCCAGAAATGGAGAGCAAATCCAGAGATCCCTTTGATGGCCAACCTACACAAGGCTCGGTTAAGATTGTTCGAACCACCCTTCTATTCGACAGGAATAGATTGCTTTGTGCCTATTGTATATAGGTGCTAAAGAAACCTTCTTGCACAAGCTTGAGGGTATATTAGTAGAGCATTATGATTATATCTTACAACTA